AATATATCGTCCTAATCACTCGTCCTTTTTTGTGCTTGTTACTCTCTTGTAACACCTCTATTCCTCGGCACTTACATGACCCTATTGTGTTGCAAAGTGCCGTAAAACTCTTATCAAAACAAACAAACAAACAAGCACGTTCTCAATTCGTCCCTTCTGTGTCGCAAACTATCTACCTCCCCGACAAACGTCGTTGTTGCTGATTGTGGGAAATTTCCTGCCGCGCAAATCTGGCCTGAGCCCTCGCCTTATGTCACCTCTTCACTGTGTGTCGCGAGTCACAGGCCACAATGCTCCTCAGTGGTTAACCCATTCTGTCCCAGGTGTGAGGTTAAACACCTTAACCCATTCTATCTCAGGTGTTAGGTTAAACACCTTAACCCATTCTGTCCCAGATGTGAGGTTAAACACCTTAACCCATTCTATCTTAGGTGTAAGGTTAAACACCTCAGGGTTTAACCCCTTCTATCTCAGGTGTAAGGTTAAACACCTCAGGGTTTAACCCCTTCTATCTCAGGTGTAAGGTTAAACACCTCAGGGTTTAACCCATTCTATCTCAAGTGTGAGGTAAAACACATCAGGGTTTTTCATCTCTTTTATCCCTGGTGTGAGGTTAAACACCGTAACCCATTCTATCTCAGGTATGAGGTTAAACACCTTAACCCATTCTATCTCAGGTGTGAGGTTAAACACCTTAACCCATTCTATCTCAGGTGTGAGGTTAAACACCTTAACCCATTCTATCTCAGGTGTGAGGTAAAACACCTCAGTGTTTAACCCTTTCTATTCCGAGTGAGAGGTAAAAAGCCTGTGTTAAAACCCCTTCTATCCAAGCTGTGAGGTAAGACTCCCCTATGTTTAACCCGTTCTTTCCCTTGTGTGAAGTCAGATACCCCAGTCTTTAACCTCTTCTGTACCAGGTGTGAGGTAAAATACCCCAGTGTTTAACCCGTTCTATCGCTCCACACACACACACACACACACACACACACACACACACACACACACACACACTCACATTTTCTTTCTGCAAACAATCAATGTGTCACATAGTATAGTTGCGCATTCGAGTAATAAATCTTATCAGCACTCCGCACTGAAACAATCTTTTGACGAGACGCACCTCTAGGCCCTGTTGGCTGTTGTTGACCACGCCACACCGGCAGCCAGGAGGCTGTGAACGTGGCGGGCGCGATAACGTTTTAGAGGATCTAGGTATTATAAATTATAGGCTGTTGGCTTCTTATTCCTGAAGTGTGCACTGTTCTGGGTTTTACTGATTGATTTCTGGTATTTTTGTTCTGGAAAGGTGAGTTTGAAATTTGTTGCAGATTCATTCTATGGCAAATGAAATGTCGAATGTGTATGGCTACTTAAAAGCTTGCTGATAAGTATGAGTTCAACGTGAAGCGTTATCAGTTGTAACTTGTTGGGGAAGAGTCAGCTGTTTGAACATTTTCAGACCCGGACTTCGTTTATTCATGTCAGCTCTTGTTTTCTCTTAAGATAAAGACGAAGCTAGTAAAAAAAAAAAGAAGCAGCAGAACATTACATAATTTAATGGGATAGTAGTCTCCTCTCTCTAATCAGTTTTGGCAGGAGGTTAGCGGGCACTCTGGTATTGTTTGCTCTTTCATGCTTACCAAATATCTATTGTCCTTATTTCTCATTTGTATGTTACTGTCTAGTAACGCTTCCACTCTTCGACACTTACATATGACTTATTTCTGTTGCATGTGCCTTAAGACTAGCTACAGCTAAACTGACCAATTCTGCGACATCCACTGCTTTGTGTCTTGAGTACCGTTGTAGTGAACTGTTGGTAACTGAATTGTCATTTTCGCTGTCTTGTGTAGATCTCTAATCATAATAATTACTATTTTCTTCGTAATTAATGAGATCAGGCGGATATATAAATAAATAATGATTTGTTCGCACCAAGGATTGGAAGTATGGTCGGGAATGTGAAGAAGTTATTTTTATATTTAAGATTTGATTGCAATGACTTTTTTGTTGTTGATTAGTGTTCTGCTGGGGTGGCAATTCCTTCCTTCAATTTGGTTCTTCTTGTTACCAGACCTTCCTTTCTGTGTAGCTCATGTGTGAGCC